GCCTCACAGTTACCCACAGCGAGCTCGAGATAACTGGGACACCCTGGAAGATGGCCTTGCCAAGCCTGTATGAGATAGGGGCTCGCCTCGAGGCTTTCATGGAGTCAGCATCCTCTCACAATCAAATGAGCCGCATCATTGGGTCGCGTTGCGGCAGCGCAGCGTTGCCGTTCGTATCTAGGTTACGCAAAGAGTTGACTTCACGCGCGAGGAGAGCGGTTGGGGAACCAGTTCTTCCCGATGAATGGCTTTCTCCACTTTCTTGATCTATCCTGAGATCATGAGCAAACACGCGCCTCCATGCTTTGTTTGAACACATTGATGGTGTAAACTGGACTGCCCACTTAGGAGTGCGGCGTCATTGTGCATTGTAAAGTAGTTTGCCAGGACCACGGGAGTAACCCTTCCGAACACTGTTGCACAAGTCGCTGCTTCTGCCGCAATTTTTAGACTTGAGCGATATGAAGGCGCGACAGTGATCAGTTATACTAGAATTTGTGGACGAAGTTCGCAAGCGTACAAATTCGATCATTTTGCGGCTGTGTTAGCTAATGCGGATACCGCGTGGCACACTCGCGTGGTCGTGAGTCAGCCGCCGACAGGGGATCACTTCTCACCTGGCCTAACCTGGCTGCTTGTGATGCCGCCAGTGGAGAGACGCGTGTACGAGATGCGCCGGAAAACGGAGCAGGCCGTCTCGTCCATCGACGGCATCTTCAAGCTGGCGCTGCTGCGGATGCCGTCGGCTGCCAAGAGCACGCTCTGGGAGAGCAGCCAGGAGGTGAGTGGCCCGGTCGGGGGTCGGGTGAGCTGGTCCGTGCAACTGGAGGTGAGCTGGATCTGACCTGCCCCGTGTGTTTAAATAAATAACATACTTAGCCCCTCGAAAGTACCGCTTTTTAAATTTCGAAAATTATAAGGTCAGCGATGATTGTCCGGAAAACTGTCGTCGCTGACATGCTTGTCAACCCATGTTTGTGTTTTGCACTTCCAAAACGATGCTTTGAGGATCACCCTCACTTATTCGGAAGCAGAATAATCCCCTGCCTGATTGTGACGCTCGTGACCGCCGAGCGGGAGTACACACCCATCCGTGGCCACTGTTGAGAGCGTGACCTTTTGGCGGATTTGCTGCATCCAGAACAATGTGTGCTTCACCCGACTGCTGAAAATGAGTTTACTTCTCATGACTCGCTCCTCTTCATAAGGCTCTTTTGACAATCGCGGAGTTGTTTCAAGTGACTTTGTGGACCATGTCTAACGTTGAAAGTGTGAAGAATGTCTGAAATGTAGTGGCATATTTTGAGCATTTTCATCATTCCTCTGCATGTCTGAAAATTTTTTAGTTGTCACTAATTAAAAAGGCTTCGGACATGTTTCAGACATATTTCCCCTGCATGTCTATAATTTTTCATGTTTCCCCTGCATGTCTGAAGAATGGCGACAATTCAGGGCCCCCAGTCAAAAATCCAGTGTCGACGCGCGAGCGCGACGGTCGTGGCCACGGCCCGCTCCGTGCCGACAGGCGCTGCCGCCGGTGCTCTCTTCGGTGGACGTGGCGCTGCGCGAGGCCGAGCTCACCGTCCAAAACAAGAAGTCGACGCGCAAGCGCGGCCGGCTGCCAGCCGCGGCCACCGCCGCCGCCGCCGCGCCGGAGCTGGTGACGCCAGTGCAGCCGCTGCGGCCGCTGCACGCCTCGACGCCGGCCGTGACGCCCAAGTTCGACCCGCGCACCGTGCAGCGCGCGGCGCCCAGCACCATCCGGCGCCACCGGCCGCAGGAGCTGCTCATGTCGCTGCGCGGCAGCCCAGTCATGCCGGCCGAGGCGCCGACAGAGCCGCCGGCGCCCGGCGCAGGCCGCCTGCACGCCATGTTACGCGAGGTGGGTCCGGCGGCGCGGGCGGCGCGCGCCCGCAGCCAGTGCGGGTGCCTGGCTCGGCGCGCGGGAGCGGCTCACCACTGCGCCGGCGCGAGTCGTAGCAGGCGTCGGGTTGTGCGTGGCGCGAGCGAATCGCGACGACTTTAGAACATGGAGGTGACGTTTGTCGTGCGCGTGACGCATGGGGTATGGTTGCCAGCAAAAGCTAGCAACGCGCGGTTCCAAGGGAATGCCTCACGGCCGAGTTTAAAATATCTTTACGCTTGGGCACCTCCAGAAGCGACCACTCCAGCGATTGCTCGATTTACCTTGCTGTGATGTGTTTTGTATCCGTTCCCTGGTATCTCGGTGTACTTTCAGTCAATGTTGTCGGTCGAAGCATAAGGCATCGAAGGACGTGTGGCTCCTGACCGCAGCTGCCCTTATCACTCCTGTCGCGGGCGTGGTATGCCGCCACAGCCGCCGTGTCGGGCAAACGACAATCACGGACGTGTTGCGTGCCCCGAAATGTCGCCTGCTCTGAGCACAGCTCTGACTGTATTCGCCTTCGAACTGATTCAAAGGTGTCGGGATCTCTGGGTCAGTATCTGCCCTGATTCTGGTGGCAGCTCCTGATCCACGGGTGCCTGTCCTAATCTTCAGTTTTCTCTGCCCGACGCGGTTTTCTCAGCATCAACCCCCGGTGTCTGACCTTCCGTTGCACTCCCGCTTCCGGTCTGTGGTCTCCTCCGCTGTTACCGCTGGGTCCGCCTGTCGTGGCGTCTGGCTGACGGGACCCCTGGTCACCATCGTCATGACCTTTGGTCGGGACGGTGACGACCTTCGGTCACCATCGTCATGACCTTTGGTCGTGACGGTGACGACCTCTGGTTACCCTCGTCATGACCTTTGGTCGTGACGGTGACGACCTTCGGTCACCCTCGTCATGACCTTTGGTCGTGACGGTGACGACCTCCGGTCACCCTCGTCATGACCCCTGGTCGTGACGGTGACGACCTCTGGTCACCATCGTCGTGACCTTTGGTCGGGACGGTGACGACCTCCGGTCACCCTCGTCATGACCTTTTGTCGGGACGGTGACGACCTCTGGTCACCCTCGTCATGACCTTTGGTCGTGGCGGTGACGACCTCTGGTCACCCTCGTCATGACCTTTGGTCGTGACGGTGACGACCTCCGGTCACCATCGTCATGACCTCTGATCGCCCTCGTCACAACTTCTGGTCACCCCTGTCACGGCCTTTGGTCGGCCCCGTTGTGGCATGTGGTTTCCTGCAGTCTGACCTGTAGCTGATTCTGTCCTGAACTCATATGAAGCTCTTGGTGTCCCAGTCGTGATTCCGGTGGTCTCCGTCCCAATCCTCTGTCGTGTTTCCTTAACCCTGGTCGACTACCCAGACGTCCGGTCCCTGGTGTCCCGGCCCTCGGGTTTCCTTCTGCTCCCGCCCTTGGTGACCCCGGCCCCTGACCTGACGCCGACTCCGTGTTCGCGGCAGACGGCTGACCAGCTGACGGATAGTCCGCCGGAAGATCTGGACGAGGAGACCGTGCGACTCATGGCGCGCCTCCGGGACGAGCTCAACAGCATGACCACCCTGTCGGCGGCCAACTGAACACGGAGTCGCCCGTCGCCGGCCATCTGGACACGTGACCACCCCGTCAGCGGCGAGCTGAACACGTGGCCACTCTCAGCGGCGAGCTGAACACGTGACCACTCTCAGCGGCGAGTGAACACGTGGCCACCCTGTCAGCGGCGAGCTGAACACGTGGCCACCTTGTCAGCGGACGAGCTGAACACGTGGCCACCTTGTCAGCGACGAGCTGAACACGTGACCACTCTCAGCGGCGAGCTGAACACGTGACTACCCTGTCAGCGGCGAGCTGGACACGTGACCACCCTGTCAGCGGCGAGCTGAACACGTGGCCACCCTGTCAGCGGCGAGCTGAACACGTGGCCACCCCGTCAGCGGCGAGCTGAACACATGACCACCTGTCAGCGGCAAACTAAGCACGTGACCACTGGCGGCGGCCAGCTGGCCAGGCTTGAGCCCGTTTGCCAGGTCAGCTGGCCGGAGCTGACCCGTCGCGACCCTGACCAGCTGTCTGTGTAGGTCTGGATGATCACAGACACGCACATTTGAGATGAGTAAGTTTCCGACCGACTGTCCGCGGCCAAGTGTTCATGAAAGGCTTACGGTGCGGTCCTGCCAGTTGCCAAGGGGCGACCTGGCGGGACGTGGGTTGGCCGCACAGCGATGCCGTCTAGGGCGATGTGTTTTAGGTAACTGGTTCTGTGTCAAAGAATGTGTTTTCTAATGCACGATGTAAACATAGCATTCTTCGTTTCAAATAAATCCGGTGTGGGGCTGTACCCTGACATCGATATATCTTGTTTCTTAAGCCGTCGCTTCTGGTGCCTGGGGTGCGATTACGGGCACATCGGTCTCTGAGAGCAAATGCCTTTCCAGGTTTGGTTTCTTGTTTTTAAGCTGTGTAAACGCTCTTTGTAAATAATTTGATACACGAACTTTGTCTGCGAAGCGTTCCCCGGTCGATGATTTCTTGCTATTTTCATCTTGTTTATTTAATGTCACCTGATAACAGTTGCCGTAATATTAGCATGTATCAAAACGGTTACTGACTTCGGAAATATTCCAGCGCATTATACTGTTCAAGCCATGCGCAAAGATAGGACTGGTCAATGCTTTTACTGCCTCTACTTGCTGCACTTGCGGAAAAAAAACATGGCCGGAAAATGGCTTAGTCTCCCTCCCATTTGACAAATGCAGCGCTTTAACTCTTCGCTCGTTTCGTGTAGTGAGCAAAAAATTGGAAACAAAGACGCTACACTGTTCATTTTGTCATTGGAAAGCGAGCACTAACTGCTAAAGAGGAGGATTGTTGAGTGGACAATCCCGTGCCGTTGGCATTACGAAACGCGTTGCGTCCGAAAAATACTTCCTTACTCTCCAGGTCATCGAAATCTTCCTGTTTCCAACCAAATGTGTGCATTTATAGTTCATGAGTACTTGCGGTCAGATCTAGATGATCCGTACCACAAACCCTGCGTCTGAGCGTGATGTGTAGAGCAGCGACCAGCCCTGGGAGCGCCGGTGGACGTTGATGCCGCTGCTCGAGGTGATGCACTCTCGACCGGCCGTGCCGGTGCTGCTGTGCGCGGGCCTGGCTCTGGGCGCGCTCTCCGTGCGGCTGGCGCTGCCGCCGCCCCCGTCGCTGCCGCTGCCACTGCGCTCGGCTGCCGGGCGGCCGCACGTGCTGACTGCCCGCCGCCTGCCGGGCGCCGACGCCGGCGTCAGCGTCCACTATCACCCGCAGTACGACAAGGCCTACCTGCGCCACCTGCACATCAGGAGCGCCGGCCAGCTGCCGAGCGTGGCGCATCGGCACGAGGTGCTGATGGGCGTGTCCGACCCGAGCTGCGACGACGGCCGCACCAACCTCACCCGCGACTGGGAGGAGGGCGCGCGGCCCTACGTCTGCCCGGCCGAGCAGCGGCTGTCGGTAGTGCCACCTATCCCGGGCCGCGTCGACTGCCAGCGCCGCCTGCCGGACGACATTCCCCTGGCGCACGTCTGCATGAACGCCAGCATCGAGTACGGTGCGGGCGTGCCGACGTACGGCCACCACCGGCCGCTCTGGCCCGTGTACGGCTCGTATCGGTACCTGCCGCCGCAGCGCTGGCTGCACAGCGTCGAGCACGGCGCGGTCGTGCTGCTGCATCACCCATGTGTGGAGCCGAACCAGCTGCGCCAGCTGCGCTCGCTGGTGCTGCGCTGCATCTTCAAGCATGTGGTCACGCCGTCGCTCCGCGTCGACCGGCAGCGGCCGCTCGTGCTCATCGCGCACGGCTGCGCCTTCCAGATGGCGCGTGTCAGCACCGAGCTGGTGGTGGCGTTCATTCGCGCGCGCGCGCTGCACGGCAAGGAGGGCCGCCTGGCCAAGCAGGGCCAGTTCCAGGACCAGCTGCTACGCGCGGCGGCGGCCCCGCCCGGCTCGGACGTCACCGACTCGGTGCTCTGTCCGTTCTACCCGAACCCCACGGCATCAGACAGTCTGTTCGCGGAGTGACGAGTGCGGCTGCGGCAGGGAGGAAGCATGGTTCGCTGGTAACTGGGTGCCAGCCAGACAGTAGGTGTATTCATTGTTACGTATGCAGCGGTCATCATTTTGCTTCAGACATCTGTTGCCAGCGATGCGCTTGAAACGCATCACAACGTAAGGAGACGGTGTAGGGCTGAGCTAAGTTATAATAGCACCAGCGTGTGCTGCCCCTTTTGTGTACGCGAAAGAATCAACGAGTATAGGTCCCTATGCAATGGGACCGACTCGTATGGGTGTACCAGTTAGTAATGATGCACCAGTCAGTGTAGTTGTACCAGTCTGTTAACGTATGCTAGTTACTATAAGTGCACCGGTCAGTATAGGTGTGCCAGTATAGGTGTACCGGTTTGGGTGTACCAGCTAGTATAGATGCACCAGTTAGTGTTGATGCACTAGTTAGCGTATGTGTAGCAGTCGGTGTAGGTGTTTGCATGCAATTTCTCCATAACGGCCATTGCATTTTATGACAGGCTTGTTCACAATCTGTCGCACAAAAGTAACTTGCGGAGAAGATATTATTGAATAAAACACGATATTTGGCACCCATTTTGATGCCGCAACCAATGCTAGGAGGCAGCTCGGGAGGCGAGAACATAGCGCGAGGGCTGACATTCGGGGCTGATGTGATCAGCTCCAGACGACCAGCTGCAGCTGGCGTGTGATAACTTAGTACCAGGATCGCCAGCCCGAGAAGAGGGGCTCGACAGCCCGCCATTTGGTCCGTCCCGGCCTTCCCCGTCACATCTAAAACTGTCCAGTTGGCCGGCTTGTTCGCAGGCCGCTGGATGGCAACACGGCGGGCTGCAGGGTGGGAACGCTCGGCGTGACCCGTTTGCTTCACGGCACAAGAAGGCAACTGCGCACTGAGTTACTGTGCAGCGCCGAATGTTTACGCTGGCGTCCAGAGAGCGGCAGATTTACGGGCGTGAGAGCCGTGGCAGCCGTTAGACTGGCGTGCTGTCGAGCTCCAAACTTCAGCCACTTAACCTGGAAAGGATGTTATTCACCGTTCCTGTGTCCTCGCGTTACATCAAGATTCGCTGGTGAAAATGCCGACATACGGAGAAAAGAAACTGATGCGAGACTTTGATGCGACACGAGTGATGTCTTTTGCACGAAGCCTGGCACTCAACTTCCGCTATTTTGCTGAAGATCCACGACCGCAGGTTCCCAGCTCGTCAACCCGCCATTCTTCGAGCCCGTGCGCGCTGTCGGGCTGGGGCCGGTTTCGATCCGGCAGCTCTCCCGGCCTGCGTCCGCCCACCCCGCGTCCCGTGTCGGGCCGATGACCGAGCGCGTGGAAACAGACGCACGGCGTCGGGCCGTACCTGACCGTGGCCGGGGAGCAGCGCGAGTCCAGAACCGCCATGCGTCTGACCGTGTGCGCAGCGCTGTGGATGACGGCGGCGGCGGCGGCGGCGGCGGCCGGCGCCGGGCCCTACCAACCCACCTGGGAGTCGCTGGACTCGCGCCCGCTGCCGGCCTGGTTTGACGACGCCAAGGTGGGCATCTTCATCCACTGGGGCGTGTTCTCGGTGCCGAGCATCGACGGCGGCTGGTTCTGGAACAACTGGAAGAACGGCGACCCCTTCCACGTGCGCTTCATGCAGGACAACTACCGGCCCGACTTCACGTACGCCGATTTCGCGCCGCAGCTCACCACGCAGCTGTTCGACCCCAACCAGTGGGCCGACCTGTTCCAGCGCGCCGGAGCCAAATACGTCGTGCTCACGTCCAAGCATCACGAGGGCTTCTGCCTGTGGCCGTCCAAGTACTCGTGGAACTGGAACGCCATGGACGTGGGGCCGCGGCGCGATCTGGTCGGCGAGCTGGCCGCCGCCGTGCGCAACCGCACCGACCTCGTGTTTGGCCTGTACCACTCGCTGTACGAGTGGTACAACCCGCTGTACCTGGACGACCAGCGCACCGGCCGGCAGCGCTTCGTCGACGGCAAGACGCTGCCGGAGCTGCACGAGCTGGTGGAGCGGTACCGGCCCGAGGTCATCTGGTCGGACGGCGACTGGGCCAACCCGCCCGAGTACTGGCGCTCGCGCGAGTTCCTCGCCTGGCTGTACAACGAGTCGCCGGTGCGCGAAACGGTCGTCACCAACGACCGCTGGGGCAACGGGACGGCGTGCCTGCACGGCGGCTACATCACCTGCCAGGACAAGTACAACCCGGGCGTGCTGCAGCCTCGCAAGTTCGAGAACGCCTTCACGCTGGACCTCGAGTCTTGGGGCTACGACCGGCGCTCCCACTACGGCGTCTACATCTCCATCGAGGCGCTGATCGCCACGCTGATCGAGACGGTCAGCTGCGGCGGCAACGTGCTCATCAACGTCGGCCCGACCAAGGACGGCATCATCATGCCCATCTTCCAGGAGCGGCTGACGCAGCTCGGCGGGTGGCTGGCGACCAACGGCGAGGCGGTGTACGGCTCGCGGCCGTGGCGCGTGCAGAACGACACGGCCACCGCCGGGCGTGTGGTACACGCAGCGCGCCGGCCGGCTGTACGCCACCGTGCTGCACTGGCCGGCCGGCGGTCAGCTGACGCTCGGGTCCGTGTCGGGCCTCTCCGGCTGCCGCCTGCTCGGCTACGGCCAGCTGGCCGCCAGCGGCAGCGTCGTCTCCTTCCCGCCGCTGCAGCGCGTCGCCGGCCGCTGGGCCTGGGTGCTGGAGCTGGGCGCTGCAGAGCGGCCTGCGCCCTGAGGGGTCTGCATCAGCGCCGCACGAAGCTGCTGTGAGCGATGTCCGGACGCGGGGACCGAACAGGACTTGGGTAATCAAGGTGGGAATCGGACAGCAATGCGTGTGTTGACAGTGCGGCGAGCGAGACTCCATCAGTGGGATAAGCTTCCCAACGCGATCATATGATCGCTACAGGTCGTTGGCAACTCCCTCGTCGGGAACATCGCATGCATGGGTAACGGGGCAATATTCTGACGTTTAACCACCGTGTCTAACATGAAGGGGTGAAATCGGCTGCCCAAGACACGCTCTGATGGTGCCCTGATATTACCGACGCATCGCACCCTGAATACCTGAGTTGATCATCCTGTGTATGTTGAAAGAGCCACGCCTTGCCAATTAAAGACGTTGCTGGCTACTACTTTCTTGGAGATATATTGTAATCGGCTGATCTCCCAGATATACTGTACAAGGCTGATGAATTCCAATGCACCAATTCATATTCAGTGATATAAATGATGATGATGTGATGCGAATGTAGGTCAATTAATACACTATTCAACTGACTAATGCACCAAATCATGGAACGATTACTTGCCCGACATCTCTTCATTGCGCTTAGCCTTTTCTTGAAATTTGAGTTGGGTCACAGGGCTGACATATTCTTCGGGTCATCACGACTTTCCAGCTCCTGAGGTCTCTCCGGACAACAGACCTTTACGAAACCCGTGGTTTTTGCTTGGGCGCTTGCAACCCCTCAGCAGGTGTCACGAAGAGCCTGGCGCCGTCCCCGTCACCGTCAAGAGCCTAGTGCCGTCCCCGTCACCATCAACAGTGCGGCGCCGTCCCCGTCACCTTCAAGAGTGCGGCGCCGTCCCCGTCACCATCAAGAGTGTGGCGCCGTCCCCGTCACCGTCAAGAGCCTGGCGCCGTCCCCGTCACCGTCAAGAGTGCGGCGCCGTCCCCGTCACCTTCAAGAGTGCGGCGCCGTCCCCGTCACCATCAAGAGTGTGGCGCCGTCCCCGTCACCGTCGAGAGCCTGGCGCCGTCCCCGTCACCGTCAAGAGTGTGGCGCCGTCCCCGTCACCGTCAAGAGTGTGGCGCCGTCCCCGTCACCGTCAAGAGCCTAGCGCCGTCCCCGTCACCGTCAAGAGCCTGCTGCCGTCCCCGTCACCGCTAAGAGTGTGGCGCCGTCACGATTTCAAGCCTGTATCGTAACCGACGATTTGGAAATCTTCATATTGTTCTGCCAGAAGGGGTGGGGGGCAAGTCCAGTATCTGGGATCCAATCCATGTGAGTAATAGCAACGCTGTGATCGAGGAGCACACAGTGTCCCGTTTGATTCGTCTCTCCAATTGCATAGCCTCGGGGCGAAGGCCCCAAGCAGTCGTCAATGCGGAGATTCCTGGTGCCTCCCTTTTAACCTTCATTAGCACAGCTCCTCATTCCTATCTGAGGCCATCCACGCCTCCATATTGCTGAATGTGTATGTCAGCAACTTTCGTGGCACCTTAAGGTGTAGCCCACAAGTTCGTGAACTGTTTGGATCGTGCCCCGTTCCGGATAAATTTTCCGCCTGCCCTGACTGTGAACTGCAGAGGAGCAGAAGTGCGGCCGCGCTACTATCCAGAGCTGGGGGATATGACACGGCCTGCATTCCACCCTGCTTGACAACGTTCGTACACAACACCCGTGAAGTCCACAAAAAGTGAGACCATAGTTCAAATTACCTTTGGTCTCACTTTTTACACAGCCGCAATGCAATTCCGCAATGCAAGCAAAATCCTGCCCGTCCCGATAGTTCAGTCAATTAGAGAGCCTGCCCATCAATTTACCAATCCGTGGCGGTGATAGGACTAAATTCGCTCAGGCACTCGCTGGTTATCCCTGACCAGGATGGCCTGCGGATGGTGCCGACGGTCGCGTTCATGGTCACGTGACATTGGAACGCAGGGCGCACGCACGTGCCGATCATTGCTATGCGTTAAGCTTTCGCCGCCGAATTGTCTTTGACCCAGAATTTCACGATCGGATGGCAGGTTCGGTCCTCACGCAACAGCGCTGCTTGGGGCGGGTGCTGGTACCAGGAGTCAATCAAGTAAACGTACGGGGTAAATCTTAACATACAAATTAACTGCGGGGAAATCCTATGTAGAACAATGCTAATTCATAGCCAAAGGCCACGCAGCTGCCATTTTTTCGTTACCATATTTAATTCGTAGATTCAAAAGAATAAAAGAAAAAATACTGCGTGAAATCACATGCGGTGCGGTGCTAAAAAGATCGTCAAAGATCATGCAACTACAATTCAAAGAAGCAGCGGTGGTTGTGCATGTAATATACATTCCCGTCACGCACATCGTGCTAAGAGCGCCCAGCAGCACCGAATGGGCACAGAGTGCGACACGGATTCAGAGAATCACTGAGCTACTGAACAAATCACTACCTCGGTCGCACCGTTATTACTTGGGATACTCAGCTGGGCCGACACCAACGTCTCTGCGAACAGCTCTACAGTCTACGCCGTTCTGCGTGTATTCGTGCACAGTTGGTAAAGGACGAACGCAGGGTTGGCCCCGCGGATAGCCATATTTCACTACTAGCGGGCGGCGCGCAGTTCTGCGCCGCCCAGCATGCAGAGCGTCGACCAGTCATGGCCCCCGCTGCCGCCGCCGCTGGTCCCTCAGGACCAGGTCTCGGTCTGGTAGCGTCCCTCGCGCTCTAGCCGCTGCAGGTACGCCTCCGCCTGCTCGGTCGTCAGTCCGCCCTGCTCCCTGAACACGTCGACCAGCGCCTCGGCCACGTCCTGCGGCATGCGGCGAGCGCTGCCCGCCACGCAGACGGTGGCGCCACCTGCGTCCACCAGCCGCCACACCAGCGCCGCCTGCTGTCGCAGCCGGTGCTGCACGTACCTGTCGGAGCGCACGGTCCGGTCACGTGGGGACGGCGACTGCCCGTGCGGCTGCCGATCGCGGTACCGTTGCAGGTGACGCCCGTCTTCACGGAACACAGGCGGTGGTGAGTTACGACGATAGCGATCAAGGTCGGCGACAAGAAGCGGCGGCCGGGTGATGGGCGAAATAACGGCGAGATGCAATCATGACAGTCCAAGACCGGGCCTACCGCTCGTAACGGTGAGCAGAGCGGGCCGGGGAACGATCCCTACTGCTGAGGCAGTTTTATACATTCTTTAATGTCAGCGCTCTCAGGCTATGCATGGTAACGGCATGATTACGGCCGCCAAGAATGCGTCGTCAGGGCCAGGAACACCGGCAGGCACCGAGGCACGGCCGATTAACACCAACCGACCGAGCAAGAGTCGCAGATAGCTGCAGCGCAACGCGGCCATCGGGGCTAGGCGCATAATTCCGCCGGTTCGCACTTGGCCATGGTTTTATTTTTAGCGTTTACAGCGGGGAGATAGCTCAATTATGCCGGTTACGGAGACTGAAGCCATCTGTTACACCTGCAATCTCACAATCCAAAAATAAATAAACTAAAAGGTGCGTTTACGGCGCTCATAACCCCACAACGCCTGACATGCACGAGCACATCCAGCACCTGGGGCACCTCAAGGACGTCCTCGTTACAGGCGCCAACCGTCGACCGTGCAGATCAGTGCAACGCTGCACAAAAGCTGCCCGCTGGAATCCATGCAGTGTGTTCTGCATGCGTGGCTCAATATTACTATATAAATTAAAAAACGTGTGATGACCGTACGCTAGTAATTACTAACGATCTCTCTCTCTCTCTCTCTCTCTCTCTCTCTCTCTCTCTCTCTCTCTCTCTCTCTCTCTCTCTCTCTCTCTCTCTCTCTCTCCTTTCTCTCTCTTCTCTCTATCTCTCTATCTCTCTCTACTGACCCTAACTTACCTTACCCTCACCCCCACCCTCACCCTCACCCTCATCCTCATCTTCATCCTATCTCTTCCTCATCCTCATCCTCATCCTCATCCTATCCTCATCCTACCCTCACCCTTCACCCTCACCTCACCCTCACCTAACCACTCACCCTCACCCTCACCCTCACCCTCACCCTCTCCCTCGCGCTCTTTCTCTCTGTAACACCATGGCAGTAATTTAAGGATGCCTGTTAAACTTTCGGAATTGTTTAAATTGTTTTTTCCTTGTTGTCCTCTATCGTAACTAGATGTTCGCCGACCGATGAAAACGTATGTCAGTCGTTTTTAGCAGTGTGCCTTCCCAGATAGAACAGTTCATTGGCATATAAATAATCGTGCTTGTCATACTACCAGCCAATAATTCTGATAGGATGATACTGACGAGGTAGCGTTCACGAACTTTATCTAAAAATCTATTGGCACACCACTTTTGTTATGATAAGCATATGGTTGGCAACACGCTTCTTAATCTGTCCGTTTAAGTTTGCCCTCTGTGAGCATGACACACGCAGAACTGCACACACGTAACAGTGCCGCTTTGCCATCATGGTTGACTGTTAGCTGGTGAGTACACATAGCAATGCTATCCAACATAACAAGGCATCGACTATGTCCCATCATGTAAAGACATCAGAACATAACAAAAAGCACCACCTGTCCACGCAGTTTGAGCCCCTGGGCGGCGCGGAGGCGGCCGAGGCCCTGCAGCGCGACGGAGCGACTCACACTTTGTCCTCCTGGTCACGAGAGAAGGCGCAGTGCAGCTGAAGCCGACCGGCGTCCACCAGACGACGCCACTCGTCGCCGAAGAAGAGGTCGGCCGCCCGGTGGCGACAGCCGAAGAAGAGGCAGAGCGGCCGCGGCCGGTCGGACGTCGCCTGCTCGCTGATGTAGCTGTGGAACGGCGCCACGCCCGTGCCCGGTCCGATCATCAGCACCGGCCGCTCCGGCTGCCGGAGGAGGGTCAGCGGTCAGCGGTCAGCGAACAGCGGTCAGTGGCCAGCGGTCAGCGGTCAGCGGTCAACAGTCAGCGGTCAGCGGTCACCGGTCGGCGGTCACCGGTCAGCGATCAACGGTCAGCGGTCAGCGGTCAGCGGTCAGTGGTCAGCGGTCAGCGGTCAGCGGTCAGCGGTCAACGGTCAGCCGGTCAGCCGGCCGGCCGGTCAGCGGTCAGCGGTCGGCCCGTCAGAGGTCAGAGGTCAGCGGTCAGCGGTCAGCGGTCAGCGGTCAGCCAGTCAGCCGGTCAGCCGTTCAGAGGTCAGTCGGCCGGCCGGTCAGAGGGCCGGCCGTTCAGAGGTCAGCGGTCAGCCGGTCAGCCAGTCAGCCGGTCAGCCGGTCAGCGGTCAGCGGTCAATCGGCTGGCCGGTCAGAGGGCCGGCCGGACATCGGTCAGCGGTCAGCCAGTCAGCCGGTCAGAGGTCAGTCGGCCGGCCGGTCAGAGGGCCGGCCGGTCAGCGGTCAGCGGTCAGCGGTCAGCGGTCAGCGGTCAGCGGTCAGCCAGTCAGCCGGTCAGCCGGTCAGCCGGTCAGCGGTCACCGGTCAGCGGCCAGCCAGTCAGCCAGTCAGCCAGTCAGCCGGTCAGCCGGTCAGCGGTCAGCCGGTCAGCCAGTCAGCCGGTCGGCCGGTCAGCCGGTCAGCCGGTCAGCGGTCACCGGTCAGCCGGCTGGCCGGTCAGAGGGCTGGCCGGCGGCGCTCAGCGCCAGAAGCAGCCGCGGCAGAGGTGAGGTCGTTAAAAGCAGGGTCCTGCAATCAGCAGGTGTCGTGCGAGTGTGGCGGACGTCAGGCTGGCTTCACAAGGTCCGAGTGGTAGGAAGGATTAACAGGATGGCGAAAATATGGCACGAGGTCTGACAGGCAGCGCATCCACACTTTGACAAGGTCAAAAGAATGGCGCAGGGATCACTCAGCATGGGCGGAGTGCCTCAAGTCACCGCCTTCGTCGCATCACCATCCCTTGTAGTACACAGCGCCGGCCGCATCGTGGGTGGGTACGCGTGATCGGGTGCGAGCCAAGGTCACGATGACGGGGACAAATCGGGGCCTTTGTGAATGCCAAGGAGTGACATGCGACAATCCCCCGGAAGGCTCATGTCCACGAAGCCCGGCCGCGAAAAGCTCGTGACTTACAACAAAGGCTGATCGATCACGAGACTGACGTTTGTCACCTTGACGACGGCAAGCCACACAAAAGCGCCGGCGCATTCTGGAGCGAAATCTGGCGCGGCTATCCCGAACAGACCCGGAGCGTGATCGGGCCCGGCCGCGTCGAAAAGGAAAGTAAACCAGATCACGCCAGGAGCAGCATGAAAGCCGACAATAACGTCAAATACGTTTGAAGGTTTCGCGAGTTAAGCTCTGTTATTAAGATGCGGAAAGGGATACCATATGCCTGCCCGAGTATTGGAGTAAAGAAAAGCTGGCCACATTGTACAGTACAAAGCGTAAGATGTTCGTGGAATGCGTGTCTTGCAGTCGTATCGCGATGCGTGGAACAAACTGCACGTTAAATTGGGGGGGGGGGGGGGGGTCTAACACCATCGACAGCACACCGCGTCCTGCAAAAGGTCCGTTCTCGGACAGGCAGGTTGGCGCATGTCAGCCCGAGCTGTTCCAGAGCACGTTAGCAGGCAGGTGTACCACTGGGCGGCGCGGTGTCTGAGTAAGTGCGCACCGCACGCCCGTGGGTGTGAAACACGAATGGAATCTCCCCACCGCTGCGCCCTGCTAGCCACTTGTTGCTCTCACGGACCGGTATTCAGAACACAGTGAGCGGGTACATTAGTCACCGCTGGGCTCAGATTAACCACTCTTTGTTTCGTTGCAAGGAACGCTGGAATTGCTCAGGCTGACAAACATCGACGAAATATGCAGCGTATCCACAAAAATGGAACGCTTAAAACAGTTTTATGGCACACGAGTGATAACTCGCCTATGGGCCGCTCGGTTGCGGAGCTTTGCTCAGGTGCAGTTACTTAAGAATTATGGGAACGTCTCCCAAGAGCGTGAATTTTGTTAGACTCACACGAAAACACAGAGAACGAATACCGAAATTTACAACGCTTCCAAACGAACGCCCGACGTGTTTACCTCGCGGGAGAAATGATGCTCTCGGTTGTCCTACGTCAGAGTCACGCCGTGGTTCGACTCGATACCTATTAATTTATCTATTTGTTGCAGTGATTTGCGGTATCCGGCTGACAATTGACTATTAACCCATGGTGATATACGATATGAGCTGCCGTGGTGACTGAACGGAGCCCTAACAGATAAAGGCACACAGTAGTAAAAGGCGCACAAACATACGACTACTGACATGTTATAATGCTCACATACGTTACGACCGATAGGCAGTAGATACAGTCAAGTCCATTGGTATAAATTATGCTCAAGCTTGAACACTAGTAGCGCCAGCACAGTTTTAGAACGCACCGGTTCTTTTACTCCTACGTGTTTCCTTGCCGAACTTACACCATGGGCCTGTGACCTGAACAGGCACGGTCTATTTAGTGGTCTCTCCGAATAAAACACCAGTTTGCCGCACTCCGGCTGCGGCTTGCTGATGGTGTGCTCACATGTCAGCTCAGAATGATACAGCAGCTGTCGGGGGCCGTGCAGAAATAACTTTGCGCATTTCTGGCTTTGTTCATATTCTCCCGTCCCAGTTACGCACTGGTTATACCTAGTATACTGGTACATACGTAACTGGTTAAACCGGGAGACCGCCTGCCCCTGGTAACGCTGCGTCCAGAAAACGTTCCAAAACGCCACGCCCGTTTGGCCCCTACTTCAGCCAGCAGCGGAGAACACAAATAGCGCGGGCGTTCCTCGTCATGAGAAGAAGCCAACTACATCTAGTATTTTTGGTATTAAGTCGTTTGTAAAGACTTGAGCGTGATCTAAAACTACACCTGAACAAATTGTTACACTGTCCAAAACATCCTCCTCCCTTACTTATCACGCCCTCGCTGCGCCCCATCAACTCACCCACCTCTCTCCTCCATCGGTGACAAAATTTATGCGCAAGCCTTTTTGGCCATTTCCAGCACCCCTTAACCTCGTAACGCACTGGTTATGCAGGGCATAACCCCCTCCCTCCCCCTGGTTACACCGTCTCAAACGTAATGTCCCAAAAAGTAACTGCCTCCCAACTGGGCCAGAAGTGCGAAACAAACACGGGCGTTTTGCCTGTCTCGCGAGCAAGCTAACGGTTTATGTCTAAATTCAGTTTTTAAAAATGCATCAAAAACACCGAATGATTATTTTCAACAAACCTAAGCGCAACATTACTCCGTCCAGCCCCTCCCTACATTACGGTTTGATTACGCTCCATGAACCGCCTCCACCTCCATACGTAACGTAATATATGGACGCCCCCTCAGATATTGTAATCCATTGCGATCCACCACATGTATAACTCTGCCCCTCTAGTCCATCACGGGGCTGGAAGGCATCCATCTGAAGTGTCGTCACGGATCTGAGAACTGTTTGCAAGTGTTTTCCAGCGACGATTTCAGCTGCAAAACTGGCGATTGCATCGGTGCGATGACGGTGCTGCGTTGGTCGCGCCCGGACCGGCAGACAGCAGGTGATGGGTACAAAGACAAACGTCTGAGCAAGAGGAGCGAAAGTCGTCCACGGAGGAGTGTCTCTGAGCCTGGTGATTGGGACGAGGTCGCCGTAACAGCGCTGCACCATTTTCCTGGCCCGGCTCCACACGTTCAGCTTCAGAGCTAAAACTACAACGACAATCTGGGTGCTCTGAGCTGGGCTTACACTACAGCGCTCGAAACTGCTAAAAAAGTCGGATGTTTTTATTCGAGAAGGCATGGCTCCGTTTTCGTTGGCTTTATTGTCAGCCGGAGAAGGTGACCGCTGCGGAAAGTATGACTCTTGCCCGTGCTGCCGCCCCGCCAGCCTCGCGGCGACGCGGCACCCTGCGTCAGCCAAGCACGAGCTGGAGCTGGAGCTTGAGCTGGTGCCGTGCACGGACGCCCATGGGTACGGCGCAGTGTCTGGGACCGAGAGTGTGCTCAAGGCGCTCACGCCGATTGCTGTGTCGCAGAGTTGTGTCGAACGCGAGTTCTTGTGATTCAATACGTGAATTATTTCCTGGAGGAGGCCTGCACATACTCACTGGAGGCCTTACGCGGTGCGTCTCTACAGTGTCTGGCCGAGTCCCCCTGGACTAACAGATCTTGCAGATCTCCAACGAGCGTTAGCATGGACAGTCTAGACTGATAATCTTGACATGCTCCAGTGGATACTGTTTTCAACGGCAGCTTTCATACTTACCGGCACGCTGCTAGGGGTCGGTTAACGGAGCTCTCTTCACTCTAGTATAGCTGTCTGTGCCCAGTGAGCCGGTGACAGTGCAGCAAGGGTTCCTCTTGGCTCCTGGCAGCAGCGGCCTCCCCGTGACTGGACCGTGTTCACCGACGACTGTCTGTACGACAGCTCGGTCGCGCTCGATGCTGGTGGTGTTGCTGAGCACGTGGCCGGCGAGGGGACGGAGCGACTCCCGGGTAAGTCGGCCCTAATTTGAGCTGATGAAGTTTGGCAGTTTGGGCATGTCGACGTACCGTATCATGTGTGGTCAGCTGGGGTCCGACCGGGTCTAGAAACGCAAAAAAGTCGCATGTCTCATCGTGTATTTCAGCCCCTTCAGGGCACCCATTTCTCCGGTTGCTGTCGCGCGCACTGGCGGCTGGGGAGCACTGCGGGCTAAGGCTGCTGATGACGCTGGACAATGGCCGGTGACCTCAGCCACGCCTGTGACGTCACCGGGAGTTCGGCCGGCGCCAAGCATTATCGCCTGGCACGTGGATAACGCAAACCTCCACCTCCGAATGGAAACTGAAAGCAGCACTGTAACTGGCGCCCCCGCCCGTTCGTCCAATGCAGTCCTCGCGCGTGGACTCCGCCATCCACGACTCTGACTGGCTGCTCAAGA